ACTATATATATATATATATATATATATATACATTATTCATATTTACAATGATAACTAAAAAAATAAAATGATTTATTATACCAAGTTTATCGAATTAATTGATAGGAAATGTTTTTCGCTTTTTATTTTATCGTTCAAAGTTGATGTTTAAAAAATATATGAAATAATATATAGTAATAGATATGAAAAAAATAATTAATTTTTTCAATTCAAAAATAATTTAATTTATCGATTATTAATTTGATCAATATAAATTATTTAAATCGGAAAAAAAGTATAGGCTTAATAAATCGTTATTTAAAAGAAAGTTAAAAATTATATTTTATGTTATAATATACACATTAAAAAATTAAATTCAGGTTTATCAAATGATCAATACATTTCATTTTATATTCCAGATGTATTATAATTCATGTTGCATAGCAGATGTACATATACATATACGAGATGTTCAAATCTCGTTTAATTTGTTATACATAATCGGACATAAATTATTTATACAAAAAATGCATATATTGTTTACATGTCGAGTTGAAAATGCAAACTGTGACATATATTGATGAGTATAAATAAATTTGTTGGATCATTTTTCATATAAAAATACGATAACACTTCTCTTTAAATTAAAATTTCTAGTATATTGAGATTGATATCAAGAGATTATTTGAATTATTTAGTTAAATAAATATCGCATAAACAAAAAAATGGACATATTGAAATAATATTTCGATTCAACGCAAAACATGCGTTATTAATATATTGTAAGAAATCCATTCCCGGCTTTTAAACGTATAAAGATTTACAAAAACTTCTTAACAGTATTTTATACCAGCTGCTATTCAACTTATAGATGAGATCATATCTCATTCTTCGAGGAAGAAATATTGCCCAGCTTTTTTTTGTTCCAAGTCCTATTAACAATAAAATAAAATAAATTTGAAAAAAATGGATATTTAAAGAAAAAAGATCATTTAAAGTAAAAAGTAACGTACTTTCACAGACTGACTCTTATTAATTCTTGGTCTGAAATTGTTTGGATCTCTTCTAAATGTAATACCTAAAAGTTCTAAAAATCTATTCATTCCATTTAATAGAGATTGTGGACTGTGAGCTGTAGTTGCTAAAGATGGAGTACCAGAAAATACAATTACACGATCAGCCAAATATGTAGCCATGATAAAGTCATGTTCTACTACAAATCCTGTTTTCTTTGCATGTAAAATGAATCTAAAATAATGACATGTTTCAATTTTTCTTTTTTTTTTTCATATATTCAATATAAGATTCTTTAAAATAATAATTCGTTAAAATGAGTATAAATAATAATAATGTTCAATTACCGTTTTATTACTTTAGCAGCAACTAAACGTTGTTCAGAATCCAAATAAGCAGAAGGTTCATCAATTAAATAAACATCAGCAGGTTTTCCAAGACATAAAGCTAAAGCCACTCGTTGTAATTCTCCTCCTGAAAGATTCTGTACTTCCTGATCCATAATATCATCTATTTTTAGTGGTTTCATAACATCTGTTACAAATTGAGGATGAACATAGGCATCCCTAATTTTTTCATGTAATAATTGACGAACAATTCCTTGAGATTTAGGGCTAATTTTTTGCGGTTTATAACTAATATGTAATTGAGGAATACTTCCTAAAAGAAATCAAATTCAAAATATCAAATATTATTTGATATAAGATTTTTATTTAATAATATATGATAATTTGTATTAATTGGTACAGTAATTAAAATGTTTTTTAATTACCTGATCCATCATCAGGTGGTAAGTTACCAGCTAACATTCTAATAAAAGTTGTCTTTCCCGTTCCATTTTCACCAAGTAGCACAAGAATTTCTGAGTCAGTAAATTGACCTTTTTCAACATTTAATTTAAAAGAACCCATTGTTTTTGTCATCGCAGGATATTCGTAATGATTCATGCGTTTGACTTCTTCTTCTGTTGCACTTTCTGCGACTTTAAATACGAGAGATTCCTCACGGAACCTTAAATTTTCTGTTGGTACAAAACCATCAAGGAAAATATTTATACCTTCTCTAACAGAAAAGGGCATAGTAACAACACCATATGCTCCAGGAACACCATAAAGACAACAAATAAAATCAGACAAATAGTCTAAAACCGATAAGTCATGTTCCACTACTATTATAAACCTGTTAAATTTTAATGACATTTTACATAAGTAAAAAATTTTTATTTAATTACATTAATTATTGATATCACTTACTTATCGGGATGAATAAGAGATCGAATCGTCAAAGCGGCGTTAAGACGTTGTTTTACATCTAAATATGAAGACGGTTCATCAAACATAAAAATATCTCCATTTTGAATGCATACCATAGCACATGCAAAACGTTGAAGTTCTCCACCAGAAAGTGCATCAATACCTCTATCGCGTATATGCATTAAATCTAAAAGAATTTTAATAATTCTATTAATAAAAATTAATTTTTTATCTGATTTTAATCATTTTATCAATTTCTTTAAAATATTTTAAAAATACAAATCTTTAAAATTATTATATAAACTTACCTAACATTTCACAAATTTCTAATTGATTTTTACACTCATCTTTTTTGTCTAAAAGCTGTTGAACAGTGCCTTTTACAGCTTTAGGAATTTGATCTACATATTGAGGTTTAATAAGAGCTTTTAAATCATCTTCCAAAATTTTGGTAAAATAATTTTGCAATTCACTACCTCTAAAATGACTTAATATTTCTGTCCAATCTGGTGGATCCTATATTAAAATTATAATAAAAAAAAAATTAAATTTATAGAGAATAAAATAAATTACATGAAGAAAATATGTATTATACATACAGAAAATCGACCTAAATTGGGCTTTTGCTTGCCTGCTAAAATTTTAAGAGCAGTTGATTTTCCAATTCCATTAGTTCCAACCAAACCTAATACTTCTCCAGGTCTTGGAATAGGCAGTCTATGTAGTTTAAATGAATTCTTTGAATAACGATGTGTAGTTTCTTTCTCTAAATTACTAGGAAGATTAATGATAGATATTGCCTCAAATGGACATTTCTAGAAATAAAATAATAAATATTAATAAAATATTCTTAAAACATTTAATCATAATATATAATATAATATATAATTTTATCATCATTATTAATGAACATGTCTAATTAATTTAAATAATTAATTTAAACATATATTACGTTATGTTACGGTATATATGTTTTTATTAATAAATATAAATTATAATATTAATTAATAACATTAATTTGCTTTTAAAATTATTTTCATATAATACATTAAAAATATTTAAAAAATTTTAATAGTAATAATATTATTTATCATACCTTGACACATATACCACATCCAATACATAGTTCTTCAGATATTGAGGCTATCTTACTATTTGGATTAACTTCTATGCAAAGTTTTCCCATTCTTACAACTGGACAAGATCTTTTGCATTCTTGTCTGCATCGTTTTGGTTTACACTTATCAGAATTGACAATAGCAATACGAGTCAATCGATCAGTTTCCTCCATTGATTTTTTTGGTGGCATGATGGTAAAATATTTACCTGTCTGAAAGTGTTATTACAAAACTTAAATTTAATAACAGAGTAATTAAAATCTATTAGCTCCATTAATTTTCTAACATTAAATTAAATGTTAAATTAAAATAAAAACATAATATTAAATTAAAAAATTAAATGGATATTAAAATTATAGTTATAAATTTTTATATAAATACAAAAAATGTAAAATAAACTAGTTTAAAAATGTACCCAAAAAATTGAAATACATATAATGTATTGAAAATAATTGAAAATTGTACTATATTTTAGAATCTTAATATATTTATATTATATTTTGATAATAATCAAATAATCTTTTAATGTTTCAAAGCTTTTTTTTAATAATAAATAGTTAAATTACTTAAAAAGTAATTCAACATATGTTCTTCTTAAATCTTAATAGGAACAAATAATCACTCCTTCAATTAGGGTATAAAATGAAAGACACTATATTGATATTAAACATATTATACAATAATTTCCATATATTTTCATTTACTCAAAATGTTTAATACATGAAAATACAATGCTTAATATTACCACGAGTTCCTAACCTCAAGTAATTAATAATAAAACATGCTAATGTATTAATACTTCATAAATATATCGCATAATTGGTAAAAATAATTTTTTCGGAATATATTATTCTATTACTTCATAATATTTAATGCAGACGTGTACAAGTATATACCTGTCAAAACCAAAAACGTGGAGGAAACTCCTTTATAAGCTTTTCGAAGGAGCTTCCGTACTCGTACACCACCACATGCCCAAACTTCGATCATAGAATGTTGAAATATAGACTATGTACTCAATGAAATATAGATATATTTTTTAAATAACTTTCATCTACATATTATAATAATTATAAAATTTTCTCAACTAATAAAACTTTTACATTGTTAATCTATGAATTATATTTTATTATAAAAATTGGTATATAATTTAATTTACTGCAATGATTTTTAAAAAATTTTATAAGTTACATATAATTATCACTATTCATAAATTATACATAAATTATATCTTGTTTTGAATATTTTCTTTACATTTTTACAAACATATAAATAAAGTAACTCATAATTATAATATAAAAAAAACATACATACTATAAAATGAATTGAATGAAATTGTTACAAATTTGACTTTTCGGGTGTTTCCAAAAATTGTTTGCAATATACGCCATCTAAGTTGGTATATTGCATCTCTCATGAAGCATTATAAAGATTTATTCTGAAGTTTTAAGCATAGGATAGTAGAAATTATATACTTATATCTTCTGATTTTGTAGTGAGTACTGTTTTAAAATAATATAATTTTATTTCTTTAAGACATTAATTCTTGGTATTTTTAACAATACATTACTGATATATATGAACAAATATTAGCTTAACCATATTTGATTTTAAAACAGGTGTCATATGATAGTTCTTGATATGTTTTTTATTATAAAATAGAATTTAGTTATAATACATTGTTAAATATTAATATATCAAAATTTATTCTAATACTTGTAATCTATAATCTATATCGTTATACGTAAGACTTTTCTGTTTATCTATATTAATTTTTAGAAACTTATATGTTGTAAAAAATGGCGGTTTTATGTAAACATTTCTTTCTTTTGCAAATCTTTTAATTCTTTGTTAAAATTTATTATTATTTTTGTTCTGAAATATCTTTATAAAATTCTTATAAATATACTATAATTATATTTAGTTTTTACAATTTAATTTTCAGTAATGTTTAGATTAACTTTCAATTTTAAAAAATAGTTAATAGTTTTTAAAAAAACATTTTTATATTATATTTTTTTTTATATATCTAAGATTTATTCAAAATTTTTCAATTTTTTAGTTCAATTTAATTTTTAGCATTTTTTAATTGATTGTGTATTTTATGTATAAATATATATATATATATTAATATATTGATATTTTTAATTTTTTTCATTTATATTTTATATAGCTATTATATTAACTGGAATGGAGCGAAGTATTCATGAAATGTTAAAAGATGCTCCATCTTTAAATGATAGTGATAGTGCAGTTCATAGTGGAACTCCTCCACCTCATGTACCAAACAATTGTAATAATGATAGTCAACCTAGACCAGCTACAATAAATTTAACTTTGGGTAGTCCTACATCTCAAATGTGTAAGTATAATATTTATGTTATTCAAATATAATGTAATAAATTATTTATATAACTTTATTTTGAAAAGTATCAAAGTATTTTTATATTATATTTAATAGCTATAACAGTATCTCCAAATACACCTATTCAAAATGGTGATACACAAACAATGCGTACTGCTCAAAGTAAAATTGAAAGCATTAAAAATTGGAGTATTTCTACATATAAATGTACAAGACAACTAATGTATGAAAAACTTGGAAAAACATCCCGTACAGTAGATTCAGGTAAATTTTATGAAATATAATTCAATATAATTATTTTTGTTTATTATATAATTATATATTATATAATATTTTTTTGTTTATAGAGCTTGAAACCCAAATTGAATTATTAAGAGATACTCAAAGAAAGTACTGTAATGTTTTACGGTTATCAAGAGCATTAGCTTCTCATTTCCATCATGTTGTTCAAACTCAACATGCTTTAGGAGAAGCATTCTCTGAGTTAGCACAGAAATCTCCAGAATTACAAGAAGAATTTTTATATAATTCAGAAACTCAAAGAAATTTAACTAAAAATGGTGAAACATTATTAGGGGCCTTAAATTTTTTTGTTTCTTCAGTAAATACACTTTGTAATAAAACTATTGAAGATACGTTATTTACCGTACGGCAATATGAAACAGCAAGGTAATTATTAATGCTATTAGAAAAATTATATATATCTTCTAAACATTTATAAATAAAAAATATTTAAATATAGAGTAAAATGTTTGATTACAGAATAGAATATGATGCCTATAGGACAGATCTTGAAGCATTAGCACAAGTAACAAAAAACGATAGTAGCAATGCAGCAAGATTAGAAGCAGCACAGGCTAATTATGAAGAACATAAACAAAATTTTGAAAAATTAAGATCAGATGTTTCAATTAAACTTAAATTTTTAGATGAAAATAGAGTATGTCTTTTCTATTTGATTACGTTAAAATATTGTATGTTATAAAATTTTTTTATTTTTATTACAGATCAAGGTAATGCACAAACAATTATTATTATTTCACAATGCAGTATCTGCTTATTTTTCTGGAAATCAAACTGCACTGGAAGCCACACTGAAACAATTTAATATAAAGGTTAAATCACCAAATTCATCTTTACCATCATGGCTTGAACAGTAGTTACATTAGAAAAAATAAATTTAAATAATCAGACAAACATGAATAAAAAATACATTCGTCCATACGAATTTTTCCTCAAAAATGAAAGAGAATTACAAAATAGAATGACTTTTAAAAATTCTCAAAAACATAAAAAAACACTGCTATCAAGTAATTTATCAAGTTCAATAATTTTTGAAACAAAAATGAATTATCATAAAAAAAATAGACTGAATTTTTTTTTTAAATTCTGCTTTAAATATCGGCCAGTATCTGTGGTACATGGCATATGAATCTTAATTATCTATATAGATTTATCTATATAAATCTATGCAACAATTAAGAACATCTATTATAACATTTGTTCTCTTTATTTAATAGTGATGCTTACAAAACAAGGCAATAGATATTTAATTTTTATATTTGACTTCTTAGAGAAGTTTTAATGTAAATACATGAATTATCATATACTGAGCTTTGAATTTTACGGTATGTACAAAACAATATTTTGATTGTTTATCGATTACATTTCATTTTGCATCAATTTATGAATATTTGGTAGTGAATTATTTGATTAAATTTAATTATTTAGTTAAATTTAATGAAAAAATTTGCAATTAGATAATTCTAATATTTTTCATTCCATTTTAAATATTAAATGAATTTTAATTAAGGTTTTTCTAATGACTAAACAAAAGTGTATTTCTTATTTATATATATTTATTTATGTTATAAAATTTAACATAATTAAAAAAAAATTCCATATGAATTTTTAGTACTTTCAAATGTACAGGATATTCATAAAAAGTTATATAAAATGTTAAAAATATATAATATTAATTAAAATTAATAAAAAATTATTAATATTTAATAAATATAAATCCAGAAACATAAATATTTTCATTTTTATTTATTTATAAATATATTTAAAATATAATATGTGATATACATTTATATACATATATAATATAAAGATTGAATAATAAAACATTGAATAGAAGATTCATTCAATGTCTATGATTTTCATATAAATATGACAATTTTCTTAAAACATACATTATAATATTTGATAAATGAAATTTACAATTTGCAAATAATATTTGAATTTATATGTATTAAACAATCTTATTTATTTTAAGTATGATATTAATACAATATGAACATTCTGTACATTTTAGTTATTATATTTAAATATTAGTTTCGTTTATCATCTTCTTATATCCATTAGTTTTTATGTCAAAAGCAAATATTATTTTTAAAAAAAAAATAGAAATGAATTACATGTTTACAGCCTTAAGTATATTTTTAAAATAATGGTACTTTCTTTGTGCAATTATATAATATTTGTATAAAATTGCTTATATGTTCACTTAATTTTTTAAATTATTAATTTTTATTTATTAATATCAGAAATAAGCTATGATTATAACAGAAACATTTATTAAATCTATACAGAATAAATTACTTTTAATGTATCAAAGGATAAAATATAATTTAATTTAACTTAGAAAATTTTTCAAAGTATTTCAATACAGAAAATATAAATTTATTCTTTATAGTATTTTTTCATTAAAAAAAATAATCTATTTTGATTAACGCATTTAAATAAAAAGAAAATATTTAACTGTTGCAAAACAGATTCAAACTAGTCATATATTTTAAGTGAATAAAGATCAAATAAACTTAAATCATGACTTTATATACTTTCATATACATTGATATTATTTATACAAATATTTTTTTTGAAACAACAATATATATTATATATATTGAAACATTATAAATTATTACGCTTCGTGAATAAAAAATTTTTAGTATAGATAGAACAAATATATGTACATTGTCATTATTGTTTGTTGCTTATACTTAAAGTTTACACTGACATTGATAATAACTTAAAATAAAAATAAATCTATTAGTATTATGATATCATCAAAGCATTTTATCATATGTTTTCAAATCAACTCTTCCAATGTGATCATCATATAGATTTTCAAATACACATATACATATAATATGTATAAATGAATTATATATTAAATATGTGTATAACTCACTATATTTTTCTAATTTTTGCAAATTAAATCAATATTTATTTATAAAGCAAAAATTATGATTTATGACATGATATTTTAATATTATAATTTAAATTGATTTTATATAATTTCTAATTCAATTTTTTTTATCATTTACTATGATTTTATTCTATTATTTAATAGATTTTTTAGAAATGTTTAGATCGATAAAGATAAATATTGTAATTAAATTAAAATAAAATCTTATATTTATTAAATAGGAATAAGATTAAAAAGTAACATGAAATAACTTGAAATATACAGTTAAAGCACTTTTTAATTTATAAAACATATTGTAGCTACTATATTATGTTCCTAATCATGATGTTATTGTGTGTATATTATGTGTATACAAACTCCAAACAATAAATGAATGCTTATATATCTTGTTTTTTATAGAATTTTTGTTAATTACTAGTACCATTTTTATTTGAAAATTTAAAAGTATATTTATATTAAAAAATATTAATTATATAAAAGTAACTATGAAATATTTTATATATTTATTATTTTCATAAAATATAAATGTTTTGTAATATATCAATGTAAATAATAGTAAATAATAATAAATGCATATTAATTAAACAATTTAAAATAGTTTGTAGAAGAAAATAATTTCTAAAAATACAATAAAAAATCTACTTGATTTATAAAATTGACTACCTAGTACTTTCTGAATTTTGATCTTTTTGAACCACTTCAAATGCTGCCTGAGCTTTTTGAAATTCTTCCACATTCTTTAGAGCAATATTACGTTGTACATCCATAAATATTTCCATTATTTTATGATTTGCATTAATATGCTTGCCCGAACAATTTTCTATGCATTGAACCTATAGAATAAAGAAATATTATGATATAATATATTATAATAAAAACAAATTTATAATATATACATATTTTTTTGTATGTATAATTATGCCAATATTTTTCAGTTATAATAATAAATATATATTTCATAAATAAAATCAATAATATAGTACAAATCTAACCATTATGAGAACACACCTCTTCTGTAGATATATCTCTTGACATAAATGTATTTACGCAAGTTTTAAAACATGTTTCAGACATTTGATTAAACAAAAGTTGAAAGTCTTTCATCTATAAAAATAACATTAATAAATAAAAATATGATTTTTATCGCTATTTTTGAATGCATCATATGAAACAGGTTAGAAATAAATAATTGATTTATTAATATAAATTATTAATATTTAAGTACATTTCTAATAACCATGGCATCCATATTTGAATTATCTATTTTAATTTTCAATTTAAATAATAAATTTATAATGTCTTAATATTTGCCGGTTTCACTTATATTCAAGTTATATCACGTGAGTTTACTTTAAATTAGTAAAAATTATTAGTATCGATTATCGGTAAATTTTGATCGATTTTTTCAAATATTAAAAAAGAGAAAAAATAAATAATCTTAATTTAAAATTATTAATAAATGAGACAATAATTTAATTTTTTTAACATAATCTATATAACTTTTCTCGAATTATATCAATTTATCAACAAATAATATTTTGAATAGAAACATGTATTTCTTTATCAAAATATTATTAAATATATAAAATACAAAATATGTTATGTTATTTGATTATATTATATATTGCTATTTATACCTTTAAGAATATATATAAATTAAAATTATTTTTTAAAAATTAATAATTTTTTTTATATTTTTTTATTTTTTCATATTTTAAGATAAATATTTCAAAATTTATATTCTATATGAATATATACAATAAAAATATTTTTTACATCTAATTTTATTTTCAAATTTAATTATATTATAAATGTACAAAAATACATTATTACAAATAAACATCAATTTTCATTTAAAAAATAAATTATAATTTTTAAATTTGTCTTTTGATATATATTTATATTTATATAGTTATTAAGAATGATTACTACAGAAGTGAATAATCTATGTAACATTTACTATATATTAAAGTTAATTACATGCATACTTAGAATAAAAAAAAAGTTATATATATAATTTCAATGCATTGATGAAAAAGCGCGCTTCCATCGGCTCAATTCGGGAGCGCTCGGCTTCGACCGGATAGAACTGTTCGTGATTGGACGCGGGTTCCGAGTCAGCGAAACGTGAATCAGTCGGCGTTGACGGCAAGAAGTATCGAGTTCGATTTGGAGCGGTATAGAGATAAAAAGTTTGTCGGTGCGTGTCGCCGGTGAATGAAGCGGGCTAATTATTACGTGCGATGGCCGCGTGCTGTAGCGAGCAGGCATCATCCAGCTCGGGAAACGTAACGAAAAAGTCACCTGCGGCCGCCGCGAAATCAGTCTGTTGGCAACATAGACTGTTCGGTAAACAACTGTCGCGGTGCAGTCAGGTTAATCAGGACACAAAACCGTGCGATGCAAGTGGTATGCTTGTCGATGAAGACGGTCGACCAACTTGTGAAGTGATCGGTGTATACTTTAGTTTTATTAATCCCGGTGCTACCTGCGATGACTTTACACGTCAACTACTTGATTTGTACACGAATGTCAACTTGTCGCATACAGAGAATGACCGGGATGCAGAAAATTCCAGCAGGGGAAGAGAAAGGAGGAAAAAGTTCGAGGTCGTGCACGTGGTTCTTTGGAGTAACGTAGCCGATGTCCTCGACTTTGAAGAGAGTTTCCGTGCACACGTTTCCGAGTTACCCTGGTTGGCTGTACCGAATTTAGATTATGAGAGGAAGGTAAAATTTATTACTTTTATTCTTTATCTTTTGATTACATTAACTCCGTTTATCAAAATATTTTAGGATATAATTTTTGTTGTATTTTTATTTTGCTGAATTTTTTTCTTATCTTTCTATCATTTATATATATATATATATATATTAAAGAAAAATATCGCAAATATATCACAATACATTAATACTAATACATATTTTTTTTCATAAGATTTTTAAAATTATATTAACATTAACATTAATCATTAATAATCTCATTATTATAATTTAACAAAAATTCTCTTTCTTAAAGTTTTTAAGAAACGAGAAAGATATATATTCCTGTTTAAAATATTTTCATTTATTATCTACTTTTTTATTTTATATTTTACGCGCGCCATATATATTCCTTTTTTCGATCGTTTTGATTCAGCAATTTTTTATTTTAAAATTATAATAACGAAAAAACAATTCTAAATTCTACTCAATCTCCCATTCATTTTTTAAAACGATATCACAGAATCTTTATTATTTTGATTAACGTAATCATACATAAATTTCAATTAAATTTAATTATATAATTAATTATAAGCCGAATAATAGTTGAAATGAACTAATAATTTTTAACATTTCACAAAATATATTTATAAAAATATATGTTTCTATCAATTTGAAACAATATATAAAATAATGATTTTTCCATGTTTCATTTCGCGACTTACAGCTTTTTTTTTCGTGCGTTTTACGATTTTTCGTCTGCTATGCGAATTTTACGGTCAGACGGGCTATGATCAATTGAGGCGAGCGTATCATTTGAAATTTGTATACACATGTCTGTCATAAAGTTACACATGTACACATAGAAGGGGTACACATGCCGTTATGCAGAAGGACCGTGCGCGCAGTGCCTTTTTTATTTCCAACGGGTGTTTTAACCCCTCGCCAGACGTGCTATTTAGGGTCCGATTTTATTTGCACCGACACACAAGGCAGAGTCGACTTTCTCTAACTAAAAATCGTTCGTAATATTTTCTACAAAACATCTGCTCCTCTATGGCTTGCTACGAATATACTTTCAGTTCAGATCAAATGTTGTTTTTTAATGAGCATCGATGAAATTCGTTCCTGCGAAAGTTTTTTTTTGAAATTCTTTCCCTTTTTTATATTTTATACGTAAAATTTTTAAATATTAAATTGCATATCATAAAAGATAATAATAATTCTATAGATAGACAAAAAAATAATCTTAGATATTTTAATAAAAGACTAGTATTAATAAAATATTATTAATTACATATTAATTAAATTAAGATTTCTTTACAGAAAGAACTGTATGAAACGTTGTAAATTTTCAAACGAATAATTTTAAAAATCTTACGAAGTATTTGCAGTTATTTCCGTTTATTTATTTATTCGTTTTAATTGAGAACGAGTAAATGAATAAGTCCAAATTGAGATGAGAAATGTTATTCGTGGCGATTAAATGCAGACGGCAGACCGGCTTCGTACATTGATCTTTTCATCACCCACGCACCTCGATGATGACGCACATATCTCTTGTCTCGAAAGTTTGAGTGACTCTACGGTTACATTACTACATTTCGCACACACGTAACGGATATTCGGTTTCCCCCGTATTACTTTTTATCCATGTTAACGAGGTTCTAGTACTGCATTGGTGTAACGAATTCAATAGGAAAAAGAAAGAGGAATAAAGAAAAAGAAAGTAACGTATAGCTTTCTATATCGAAATTCGAGTCAACTGGTTGAATCGTTTGTGCGTATAGATAGAGGTACAAAATTTCTATGAAAGATGACAATTCTTGATACTTATTCACTGTATACGCATTAACGGCATGTGAATGTAAGAGACGATCGGAGGTCGTTATTCTGTCTTTTTTCCACGATCATTAGTCAAGCCACTCAAGTTATTCGTGTTTGTAATACATATACATATACTCAACAGTCTCTGATTCGTGAGTAAATGTAACGATAAGCGTCCTGCGCAATTAGCGTCAAGTAGCTTCGTGATTCTTCCTTGCTCGTTATTCCGCCTATCTACCTGATCCATGTTGGGAATCACCCCCTTGAAATCGTAGCTTCTTTGTACACCGTTTCATTCATTTAACAATGAGAAGAGCAACTTTCGTTTCTGAAACATAGCAGTAAGAAAGAAACGATCAAATTCTCCTTTTTCTTTCTCTCATACACACATAATCTCCTTTTTCAACTTTTATTTAAAGAAATCCGAGACCTGAATTCCCAATGAATATTGAGAATCTCTAAACATCTTTTAAATAAACTCTTAATTCTTCGTCGAAATGTTTTAAATGATATTTTATGATATAAATTCAATAACTGAAAAAGATAATTAAGTAATTGGAAGAGGTTATGTATAATAAAGCTATCGCAACGTTACCATGCATCGTTAATACAGATCGTATTGACCTCTGTTGGCAACTTCTGAGGTTGATATCTTCTTAGGAAAGGAATAAAGAACTGTCCAGTTTGTTTGACAAAACTGAACGTTTACTAGTGGTGGTAGTGAGGGGATGATGCTACAATGTCAAGCTGCTTGAACAGCTAAGTAATAGAGGTACGCTGCTCATCGTTTGTACGACGTAAACCGTTTCATAAAGGTGCACGCCTTTACCTTGGATGGGGAAGCAGCCGAGAAAAAGAGTGAAGCCGACCAACCTTTGCATTCGGGGTGGCCGACCCATATCTTCCGCAAATAGCTTTCTCATTCGACCGGCGAGATCAAGAAAGCGACGAAAGGTAGCAAACGAAAAGAGAGGAGAGATACGTGTTTACGTTTGAATATACATCGGAAGGAAGGAGAGAGTGAATCGGTGGCGATGCAGGTCTCTTCCCACGAAAACGAGTGAAATGGAAGGAAGAAAAAAGGAATAAGAGAAACGTTGGAATCTAGATAGACTGTGAGGTAGTTCGTACACAGAGTGGCCCGTACGCGGCGCTATGTAACCCCTTTCCCTCTCTTTGCTTCCTTTCCACCCACCCACATCCACTCCTCTCCTGCTCCTGTCTGCTTTTTAGCTGGCATATCGTGTAGATTACACACGACCTACTCGGCAGTGGTCAAAGGAAAAGTGAAGTACGTGCGAATCGCCCGAATAAATGTATTCCAGTGCCTATGACTCGAAAACTCGCGTGAAACCTTCCCAATGCTTTGACGTTGTACAACCAACAGTATCATACTGATAAAAGTGATAGAAAGTTGCACGAGAAAAAAAATTAAATCTTCTACGTCATTTGCCGCAAACGTACGGATGCTCTTTCAATGTCTTTTATCTGTTTAATTCGTCTCGCCAGAGATCATCTTAATTCAACTTGTTTAAGCGACATTAATTTTTTTTTGTGTTTTCTTTTTTTTTCTTTCTTTCTTTTCTTTTTTTTTTCTTCTTTTAGAACATACTTCGATGACAACGTGAATCTCAAACACGTATCCATTGTCGTTCGTTAACCCTTACAAAATCGATTCTCGATAGAATACGAATTATTCTTCTATGTTCCGCAATATTTTCAGATTGTACGTAAACGTATAATCGTTTGCGTGTAATTGAAAGCATGGTAGTCTTAAGACGCTGCTGGGGTTGACCAATGGAAATACAGTGGTCTCGTCAGTCTCGGTCGGACGAGAGATGTCGGGAGGCCGCGATATCTGTATATACCAGGGGTGCGCAACTCCAAATAGCAAGAATTTATCTTCATCCCTTCGTTAAATCGATTATTAACGTTCATAAATCACGTCAAATCGACGTGACATTTAATCTATATTATAAATACACATATGTAATATAAATCGTTAAACATTTATGTAACGTAATGAAAGATATGCAAAGTTTTATCCATAATTTAACGTAAATTAAATAAAAATTCTAAACCTAATAAAATTCAAGAACATTGATATGGAATAGATAGATGAAAGAGAAATGGACGATCATTTTCTTTCATTTATATTCTATATTCTACGCGAATTTCAAGATATATTTTTATTAAGATTATTTTTCATTTTTTCGATTTATTAAAAGATTCGTAATTTTGGATTCAAGCGAATTTCGATAAGAAAGATAATCTTCATATTTGTACATTCACGAATAAGATATTATCGCGATATAATGCAAAATATACGTGCAAGAGTAAACCGTTTAACGGTAAAAAAGTTTTTCCGCAAAATTTACCGCGACAAAGCGGGTGTTGTGCACCTCTGCCGTTCACGAAGGAGGCGATTGAACGCGCGCGAACGAGTCAACAGTGATCTCATCCCTTCCCCTCCATCGCTCGTCTTCTACCCGATGTCACGGTATGGCAAGGGGTTCCCTTGCCGAAGAGAGAGAAAGAGAAAGAGAGAGACCAAGCGGCAGAGTGTCTGGTAGAAGACGAACAGTAAAAAACATTCGTTTTTCAAATTATCCTGTCCATTTCCTATTTAAAATATTCTCTTCCGCATTTTCCGCATGCTCAAAATAATTAACCAGAAACAACAATTGATTCCTTCCAATTATCGATTTTCACAAGTGCAATCTTTCTTATCGACGGATATTCGATGTTCGATTACCGTTACAAATATACCTACAAATAATATCTAATTTCATCCATGTTTCAATCATACACGCGTACACACGCTCGATGGAAATAATGGTATGACGCGAATATTTTTCGTACCGATACAAACCCCGGGTGGAGAAAGGGAATCGACGAGGGTAAGCGGGCGATGGAGCAAGGACGACACAGGGGAACGAGCAAGCAGGAGCGATGGAAGTGGCGTGGTAGGGGACATACAGACCACCGGGGGAAATAACGACAGCACCGTGGAGCGAGCGGCAGCAAGGGAGGACGTACGCGTTATCGACCGCTCGAGACGGAGACGGCGAACGAACGTATATATACGCGAAGCGTAGGAACGAACGAGAAAGCGGCGTAGGAAATATACGAAGGGACGAGGTAATGCCTCCCTGTGGAGGGTCGCGATAACGTACGACGTCGCGCGTTCGGCTACCTAGAGAAGACCCTTCTTGCCTTATTCCGACGCTCGCCCCTTTTGTGTGCTCGCGGTCGCAACGCATCGACTGAGAATTTTACTTCGTTCTTTGATTTCGTTCGATTCGCGGGGAGAAACTATGGAGAGGAAAGAAAAGTGCTAGGGTGAAAGTTTCGGTGTAGGATCGATTTGTTTGCCAACTGAGCTCGCGACAGGTGTCGCATACCGAAGATTTATTGAAATCTCTTTTTCC